CAGAGTGTTTTCGCGGATGCGCGTGTGTGCGTTATCCGGTGCACTACTACGATTTGGGAAGGCGGCGGCTGTCGCTTTTAGCGGCGGCGGCGGCGGTCCGATTATGTGGTATTTTTGTCCCATGTAATCGCGTGTTTTCGTTGTCGGGTGGTGGTGCTGGGCGGTGGTAGTGAGACCCTCTCGCGCTCTTGCGTTCCCGGTGCAACTCGTTTGCGCACAATCCAAATTGTTTACCTAGATATCGATGACTCGTTAGCGCACAACTAATACCGTCGTTAACCTAAAAACGGACGACTCGTTTGCGCACAACATAACCACTGCATAACATAAATTTTATATTTTTAAATTTGGACTTACCTAAAGTAATTGATTATCGGTATTATTCTAAATATAATTAACTAGCTGATCCCGTGCACTTCGTCGCCCGTTAAATATATCAACTCAATATGACTCAAACTTTGTTCAATTCATTATTCAATATTCGGTGTATGGTGTTCAAAATTTATCTTATCTTTTCTGTTGCCCGGAATAAAAATTCTGAATCGCAGCAGTACATTATCAGGTAGGCAATCTACCTGCGGTAGATCGCGGACCCCGTGATGTTTGTACGGAAGTGTATGATTTAACTCTAAAGTATCAAAGTTATACCAAGTTTATTTTGATATAATACTGTGGATTAATATAACAAATTTGGTTGATCGTAAAAAATCGCAACTCTTAAAAAAATTATGATTGTTGAACTCCTTTTGGGTGTAACTTGCTGCGGTAAGTGCAACTCAGCCACCCTGGTAGGCAATGTTCAATAATTCGATTTGATGCAAGCTTGTACCTGATCTGTCCGACAAACCAATAAATAAATGCTAATTTCTAATGTAGACTGTAACCAATGGCAACTATAAATAAATAAAAATAAAATTTCCAATTTCTATCGTGAATCTCAATGTCCCTGTTTCAGCACCTATTTAAAATGCGAATTTTTCCAAATCCTTTCTTAGCGCACGTCTACATCATAATAGCTATCTGTATGCCAAATTTCAGCCAGATCCGTCCAATGGTTTGAGCTGTGCGTTGATAGCAGTCAATCAGCTTACTGAGATAAATCATCTAATATCTATCAGCCATAGAGATGTCTAAATTGTTATTATCATATCAATATAAATTATTTTTATTTTTAATTCACTCATTTTAATACCAATATTGTATATTTAAATTAAATATTGCTTGATAGATGGCGCCACTATCATATTCTTTCAACCCCACTTTTACCCCCTTGTAGGTCGAATTTTCAAAAATCCTTTCTTAGTGCGCCCTTACATTACTTAAGGAACCTCTGTACAAAATTTCAAGTCTCTAGACCCAGCAGTTTCGGCTAGGCGATGATGAATCACCCAGGACAAGTCTTTTTATATATACAGATGATTGTAAAAAATATAAAATGTAGTTGTTTAAAATTTAATTTTTAAATTCTAGATTATGAGTCCATCCTCAGAACATCAAATTAACATGAAAGATATAATTGATGATGAGCTTCAGCTAGTTAATAAAACGTCTTCCTTGACACTATTATGCATTGAAAATTATATTCTCAGAAATATAGACTGGTCTGATAAAATTCAAAAATTTTTATCAGTAAAAATTCGCAAGAAAAACTTTAAATAAAGCTAAATAATAATAATAATAATTAAAAGACATAAATTATTTATTTTTGTGTTTTCATTTCCTATCTGTATTATTTATTTATACGAGAAATAACAAAAGTTTTGAATTTGGTTATTTATTTGGATAAGTTATTGTTATATAAAATTTAAACATAGTATACCTAATTGTTTAGTTGTTTATCATGTAAATTTATGGTAGTTGGAAAAAAAATCCCCGGGAAATAAAATCCCGGAAAAAAATCCCCAGTAGCATTATACCGGTAGTATTAAATTATTTTATAAATTTTATTATATGAAAAATAAAATAAATATTGTATATTATGTTAAAAATTGTTATTTTATAATAAATTAAATATTACTAAATATATAAATGTATTATATTATACGCATATAAAATGTATGCCATGATGGATAAACTTTCGGCGTTTTGAACAGTAAGATATTTTGTAGGTGAATGGAGCTTATACCGTGAAGAGAGAATTCTTTTGCATGATAATCGAAAATCAAACGAACGCATAATAATGTTTGCTACTGACTATGGGCTCTCATTATTAGCTGAGGCTCAAACATGGTTTGTTGATGGGAACTTTGGACTTGCACCAAATTTTTTTACACAGTTATATGTAGTACGAGTACAAAAAGATTCGGTATTTATTACTGCTATTTATTGTATCTTAGAACGAAAAACGTAATCAACCTATGAACATATATTTCGAGTTATTATGGAAGAGTGTAAAAAGCGTGATTTATACCCTGATCCTTTAAATTTTAATTTAGATTTCGAATTAGCTGTCATAAATGCAGCGAAGTTAATTTTTGGAAATGACATAAACATTCAAGGATGTTTTTACCACCTCTGTCAATCAACTTACAGAAAAGTTCAAGAACTAGGTTTGTCAAACAGATATCAAGAAGATGAAGGTTTTCGATTGTTTTGTGCAATGATTGACAGTTTAGCTTTCTTACCATTAAATAACGCAAAAGAGGGGATGGAGTGTTTAAAGCAAAACATACCAAATGAAGCAGATGATTTATTAATTTATTTTGAGGCTTATTATGTAAATGGCGCTTACAAACGAATTGGGAATGCAGCTGGAGTTAATGTTAATGTGCGTCTTCGAAGACTACAACCTATGTTTCCACCTAATACTTGGAATGTTCATGATACAACCCTTCATGGTAGCCACAGGACAAACAATCCTACTGAAGGATGGAACAATTGCTTTGCACATTTAGTCGGTCAAAAACATCCAATGATATGGAAGTTAATTAGAAAAATTAAAAATGAAGTAGCTGCAGATCTAGCAAAGTTGGCTTTAAATGATGTAGGTGAGCCATTCAATAAAAGAAAAAAAATAGGGTTGACCCAAACTACCGAAAAAAGATTGAAAGAACTATGTACACGAATCCAAAATGATGAAATAAATGTTGAAAACTTCCTAAAAGCGATTGCTCATAACATCAGAAAGCGCTGTAATGACTAGGTAATATTATAATTACATTACTTTTTACGGTACCTAATATACAATATTTATTTATATTACCTATTGGGTAAAATACAATTTTTTATAAAATGACAACTTTTAAAATAATATACAATATTAATTTTACTTATATTATATAATTTAAAAAATATTATATTATATTAGCATATTATGACATATTTATAAAATAATTCCTATAAACTATTTATATTTAATTATTGTTAATATTTTTTTATACATTTTTTATTGTATTTTTAAGGTATAAGACAGTTTTTATAAAATAACAATTTTTAACATACCTAATATTACGGTACCTCATATACAATATTTATTTTATTTTTAATATATAATTTATTATATATTAAATTATCTATATTATCCCCGGTATAATGCTACTGGGGATTTTTTTTCCTAGTGCGGGGATTTTTTTTTAGCAATTCTGAATTTATAGCTAGGTACAGAAAAATAGAATATTCCATGAGACGTGAGTTTGATATGGTACTATGTAGACATGTAGTGTATGTAATAATTTATTAATTTGTATAAATTATATTTGTGTAAAAGACAATGTATACATATGTGTAGCAAGAGTATATGACGAAGAGTAAGGATATAGTTTTTTTGTAAGTCAAGTGTTTGTGTAAAATTGTTTGAGCGTAGCGAGAAAAATTTTTTTGCTTATTTATTTGTAAAAAAAAGGCGTATTTTGAATTAGGGGCGTCATATTTATGTTTGCTCCCCCATGCAGTGTCCCTTAATACGGCCCTGGGTAATACAATCGTTACCACTTTTCGATTTCAATAATAACTCAAAGTCATCACTTATATCAGTTTCATTATCGACAGATGTAACGCATACATTTTCAGGTTCATTTATTGTACACACTTTTTGGGGTCGGCCAACGTTTTTTAAAGCACACATCAAATTCCATAATTTGCAGATATGATCTTGCGCTTTTTTTTTTAAATTCGGGAAAAAGAAGTACTTGGAAACGAGGATCCATATATATATAGCTAGAAAAAATATATAAATATTAATCAAATATCTAAAAATCTAAAACCATTAATATTTATAGTAAAATATGAATTAAAATGTATTTAAGATAACAAATATTTGGTTATTTTATATTTGTATATCTTACAACTTTTTTAAATAAATGTATATCATTATAATAATGATTTTATTAATAGTGAAACTATATTTTATCCTTCCATACCCATTTTCTTTCTAAATTAATACACCGAAAGAAAAACCACAATCATAATAATAAAAAACTATGTTAAATTGACAATAATCTTGTTAATATTGAGCCAACAAGATTTTGTTATCAATTTGATGATTTTTATTGTTTTTCAAACAGTCTTGTTTACCTAACCAATATACATTGTTAATCATACAGTTTCTATTGTGAAATCAACAATCATTATATGATTGGTTATATTAATTTGTATTGTAGAGTCAACCAACATATTGTTAATTAGGTATTAAGTTTCTTGTTCAACCAACCAATATACATTGTTAATTATACAGTTTCTATTATACCATTAACAATTATTTTAGGATTGGTTATAATATTTTGCTTGTAGTACCACCAATAAACACAATATTGTTTAATCATTGGATATTTTACATTATACATTCACCAACAGCATTACAAATAAAAAAAACTCAATATTTATAGATTCAAAGAAATATGTAACATATATTTTGTGTGAATAAAAAGTTTCTGAACAAATGACTTATAATAAAAATGATAGTTATAATATATTTCCATATATTTAGAACTTAAAAAATTTATATTAGAAAAATAGTAGGATAATTATTAATTAATGGGTAATACTAGTTATAAAAAAAATAATTAATTTTGTCTTAAATCGGATAATATTTGTCCAAGAGTATGACACGGTTTATCAAATTTTGTGTTTAAATTGTATAAATATTTTTGAATAAATAACCAAGTAATAGAGTAATAGATTCAATTGGATACTCCAAGTTAAACAAATGAATCAATTTGAAACATACATCAATCGCATTAATTATTGAGAACACTTTATATTTTATAGAATCAAAGAAAACAATTGTTTCTTTTGGATGTATTGGTGAACCAACTATTAAGATAAACGGTTGAATAGGATTGTTTTCATTGCGCCGTAGAGTGATGTATTCCTCAATTTCACAAACCGAATTCTTAAAAATCATGAAGCTATTTTGTGAATCTTTAATAGAGTGTTTCACTTGGTTTATTTTGCCATTATGATCTCTGGTGACTTTTTTAGATGTCGGCACAAAAATGGCATGTAATAAATAAAACATAACAGTATTTGTTTCATCTGAAAAATTAAACATACAAAAATAAATTTCTAATAAATATGCTATTTCTGAGTAAAAATGTTTACTTTGACTTATGTCTGGAGTATCCTTTATACTTTCTAATAATTTGCGACTTGAAGAATCTTTGATTTTCTCATCAATCAAGTTCATTATTTGTTTGGATTTTTCCTCAAATGTGGTCATCAAGTCCTGACAGTCTGGATATAATTTTTTGAAGTCAATATCAACCTAAAATGTTGTTTTAAATTTCTAATCATTTAAAAGCAGTTTATACATTTTATAACAAATATGTAAACAGGGTGTCCTTAACAAATTCAATAATTTATATCAAAACATTGTTTTATATTTTTTGTATTGTTAAATTTTGGGTGTTATTATTTTTTAATCATTGGTAATAGGTACTGTTCTAAATTCATACAACCCTACAGATTTTAAATTACATATATATTGATATAATATGTATCTTTTTAGGTAATAGGTATATTATTATCTAAGTGATTATTACTTATTTTAGTAGCTACTTTTCAAAGCATTTTTTTTTTTTTTTTTTTTAATTAACTTCACTAATTAATTGAAGTTAAGGGGATTGGTGGCGGTGATTTTCTGTCTTTGTCTAACACAGGCGCAACATAGGATTATAGATGTGTTCTATTTCCAACGTACCGATTAATATAGTGAAGCGATAAAAATTCTGAAAACAGATTTGAATTTGTCGTCAAGTCTATTTAAGATCGGCCAGTCCACATATTTTATATTATCGCCCAAAATCCTAAAAAAATTGTATTATTAAATAGTAATTAAAAAAATGTCATATTTCATTTGTAACGTCACAAGTTTTTCGTGCACAATTATTATTATTATTGTTATTACTTATTATAAATCATTGTTATTAAAACCACCTTATTCGATTCAAATCAGTATAATGATTCATTTTTCCCATCCCTACTTATTATTATCATAACTGTTGCGCGCTCGATGAACAGTCTAATCTACAAAGTTATGTCTCCACATACTACTTCCCCCCCTCTCTACACAAAGGTTCAGTTGTGAACACAACGGCTGCCGGTCGGATGACATCGTCGTTCGAGGAAGACGTGCAATTAGCGGTACCGACAGTGCAACCTGTATCCTTATAATAATTGTCAATACCTCTGATCATGCAATACTGACCTGTCCCACTCTCACAAGACGACGTCTACAACCAGCGGCTGGACACCACCGACCATCGTCTCGTTGCATTTTTCCCGAGACCTCTGAGCCGACACAACGTTTTGTCAATCACGTCTCTCGACTCAACCACTTCCGACCCTCGTCAACTTCGGATCATTCCTATTATTCTCGAGGCCGTACCAAACAATTTGATGGGCTAAGATCCTCCACAGGCCTACTGGTGGCCAGATATCCGGTCAACTGTCAACTCTCGTTTCTGACAGCAAGACGGTTGATGCCAACCGCGTGTGTGTTGGTGGCTACTCAGCCCAGCCGTCCCGCTGTCAAAAGGACCACATCTCAAGACCTGTAACGTATCAATGTAACATCCCCCCCCCATGTCCCTCTCATTTATAACTGTAATGTGTTTCTTTTAATTATCATTTTTATTCCTAAGCGATATCTCAGGCGGTAACCCAACGGTGGCCATATTCTCATCATTTTATATTATTATTAAAATCACCGTAGGTAATGGCGGGCTTTGTGGGCTGACCTGCATTTCGCTAATTATAACGCACTAGTTGTGTGCGCCAAATCATTATTCACCCAGGGGTGGATCTAGGGGAGGGTTCAGGAGGTCAGCTGACCCACAGTTAATATTTTCTGATCAAATTGGCCTCTTTTCAGATCTTGAGTAGTTGGACACTTAAATAAACACACATATAGTATAAATTAATTTTAAATTCTGAGTGGAACGATGAATGTATTGATTTTACAATGTGTGTTTTTTTTTAAAATTTTTTTGATTTATTTTTGTGTCTGTGTACACGATAGGTAGTCGAAATAATGCTTAGATTTTCAACTTCAGTATCTTGTTCGATTGGAAAGTGAATCTAGTTGGTGCATTCGGGAGGTAAAATTTTAAAATTCCCAATAGTTTTCACAAGCGCCGGGATTAAACACATAAAAATTAAGGAATAACGGAAATTTTTACTCAAAATCTGTTTTCCAAAAAATCGATTTTGGTTTTTGGTGTAACTCTAAAAAAAATGAACTTAAATACATGAAATTTTCACTGGTTGCTTATATTTGCATTTTCTATACACAATAAAATTTTTAAAATATTATGATTTGTTTTGAACTGTTTAGGGACATTTTCATTTTCCATTTTTTTTTTAGTTTTTATTCTAAAAATATCAATAAAATTTTATTTGTTAGCTTAGAAAGCTTGAAAATGTATTATAAGGCTCCTAGAGTATATTGTTTAAAGGCAGATGAAAAATATTAAAAATAGTTAGTCACAATTTTCTTTTATAAGCATTTAACCGAAGTGCCTTCGCTGGTTGGTTCTTCCCTCAAGATATTCAAGCTCATAAATTATAATTTTAAAAATAACCATCATTTATGCTTATTGTACTTTTTTTTTTATGTACAGATTGTATAGTTTCTAGATTAAAAAAAAAAAAAAAAAAAAATAAGCATTTAAAGTTCAAAAATTGACAAAATATGGAAAAATCACGAAATATAGAAAATTATTTTGAGTTAAGAATTCGTAAAAGTTTTTCTTTTTAAATCTAAGATTTGAAAATGTAATACAAGATTACTCATAAGTTTGTCTACCTTTATCAATAAAAAAATCTCTACCGGAAAGTTAAATTAAATTTTTATGAGCGTTTGAAATTCAAATTTTTACAACATTGGATATTCACTCGATTTCTCATGTAGCGATTTCCTTATTTTGTTGTAATTCAAAAACAAATAACTGTAGATAAATGAAAATTTCACTGAATGTTCATATTAGCATTTCCTATACAATGTACAATTTTGAAAATAATTGTTTTTCTTATACAATGATATTATATATAATTATAAATTCAAATTTAATACCATCCATTACAGCGACCCCCACTTGTAAGTTGTAACCTAATGTACAGCAGGTTAGGTATACAGCAAAAATATTTTGACTCTTTTTGAGTTGTTTACGGATATTTTCAGTTTTCAATTTTTTTAGTTTTTTTTCTATAAATATCAATAAAGTTTTATCTGTTATGCCAAAAAGTGTAGAAATTTAATATAAGGCTCCTGATATATTGTTACAATATCAGTTGAAAAATATTAAAATACATATAGGCTGCACAATTTTTTTTATAAGCATTTAAAGATCGAATTTTGACAAAATTTATCAAATTTAAAATTGAATAATTATTTACTTAACTTTTATATCTAAGGATTGAAAATTTAAAACATGATTTCACCATTGTAGTTAATTCTGTTACCAAAAAATCTAAAAAATACATAAGCACAGTTTATTTTTATAGTCATTTTAAGTTCAACTTTGGATAAAATTACATAAAAAAAAACCTAGAATAACTATTTTAGTTATTTTTTTGTGATTGTGTAATATTATTCGTGGGTACTTGAAACTTCTAAAGTATACTATTACATATCTATGATAGTATCACGGTTTGTTGTTGACGTATAACGCATTATAAGTACCTAATGGATATTGGGATATGATAATTTTGGAATTTATTATAAGTAAATTTTTTTTAATACGATAGATAAGAAAATAATATGCCTTATACCTAGACTGACTTACCGTCTCCGCTCAGAATCGTTTTTCTTATACAATGATATTATATCATTGGATTCAAATTTAATACTATCCATTATACAGTGACCCACTTGTAACCTACTGTACAGCGGAGCACCTTTTTTTTGTTTTATATGCCTAGTACACAAGTATAGATTTCTAATTTGGTTTTAATAAGTGGCCCCCTGAAATTTCCTGACCCATAGTTTCCTAACTCTGGATCCGCCCCTGTATTCACCTCATAATTATTATACTCCTATAACTGCCATGTGTCAAAACCATTATTATTAAAAAATGTATGTCAAAATTATTCAACCATTGTAAATCAAAAATGTAGACTGACCGATCTCAAGTAGACTTGATGAAAATTTCAAATCTGTTTTCAGAATCCTTATCGTTTCACTAGATTAATCGGTACGTTGGAAATAGAACACGTCTATAATCCTATGTTGCGCATGTGTTAGACAAAGACAGGAAATCACCGCCACCAATCCCCTTAAGTTAATAGTATTTGTTTACTTAATTTAAACTTCGCTTTTAATTTAATTAAAAGAAAAATACTTAACTTAACTGAGTCAAAAAATATCATCAACTTGCCTAGCCTTGATTATTTTTAACTTTTTTTTTATAAATACATTTTTTAATAAAAGTTAACGTTAACTGTGTTTAACACAAAAGATATTGGTACTTACAAGTCGGTATCCAAGAGGTAATTTAAAACTATTCCAGTCGCTAATTATGTCACTTGTTGAAGTTGCTTTTTGAATTTCGTTTAACCTAAATTTTGTTGTTGCTTTCCAATTACGTTCAACTTCCGGAAATGTACAATTTGTGTCATTTTTAATTTGATCCACAATGTAACTGATGTCTTTTTCTGGTTCTGATGCATATCACAAATGCAATAAGTAAAAATACATCATAGGTATTAGGTAGTGAGTGAAAAATATCTTACCAAAATCTATACAATGTTTGCGACTAATAGGCTTATCAACATTTTTTACATTTGATGTGACAAGACCAGTTGATTTTAAAAACCTCATAGAATTATAAAACTTCGAGTAGAGTTTTCCTTTTGGATTCTTGTTTGATTCGTACTTCATAAAATATGTATCCTAAGATTAATTTTTAAACAATTATTATTAGTACAAATTATGTAATTATATATTACTCCTTTAACTTACTTTTACTTCTGATGGAAACATAGAAATTATTTGATCACCAATGAAATCAGCAAGGTTGACCGACATGGTAATTTTTTTGGTAATGATGGCATCTACTAATAATGATCTAATATTATCATTAAACCTATTGTTAGTTTTATAATATTCCAATATCATTCCACCAGTAGTTGATGCGTTCAATATAACACCCAAATCAATATCATGAACTAAAGATTTTTGTTGATGAAATGTTTTTGTGGTAGGAGTATTATATGAAATTGTAGTAGTCATATTTCCATTTTGAGGTAAACATTTTTTCCATATTTCCAAATTATTAATGAACTTAACTCGAATTCCTAATGAAAATTTATTCAATAATTCTTTACAATCATCATCTTTTAACAATTTCATCACGTTCAGATCTATTAAATCAGCTAAAAAAGATGTTACAGTATATTGTCAAAAATAATATAATTTATAATAAACAATGACTCTATTGATTATGAGCTAACTAACCAAGCAATGTTTGATAAACGCATTCCAATCCCCAATCTCTGAGCAAGTCTAGTAAAGGTTGAAGATCTTCAGTTGGATAGCTATACCCTGGTACTAGTGGCATTACAACTGCAGTAGAAGATTCTGTATCTAAAATCTATTAATATACAAACAATGATTAACTATATTTGTTTATAGTAAGTATCGGATGTCAAAACAATTGCAGGAACTAAAAAAATGCAGAAAAAAGTATGAGATTCATGCAAATGTATAAGTTAAAAATTAAAAATACTTGCAAAATGATCATTTTCATTATTTGATAGTAAAGATTCTTGTAAAGTCTCGTTAATTTCAAATTGCTCCATTATAAAATAAAATATCCAATACACAGTAGGTATGTTATGTAAGTAATCTATATTTGAAAAGCCAAAAGCATAATATTTACAGTAAGTAGGTGCATAAATATTAATGTAAATGTCTGTATAAATATATATATATAAATGAGTATATAAATGTTAAAAAAATTCTTTAAGGCGAATCATTAATTTGCCTGAAGGAGATGGTGTAATGTTGATTGGTGGCCCACTAAATTCGTCTACATTATAAATCACACAATCTTCAATAACAGTTTTGTCGCAATCTACCTCAAATGCTTCAAAGTGTGAATTAAAGTTGTTAATCTTAATTTGCTTAGCTAGAATGTGAATTTTTTTATTCGGTATATTAAAAACTATTACTTCTATAATTTCAAACAAACTCATCTCTTCTATAAATTTTGTCAAATAATATCCTTTTTTATAAATTGTTCCCATAAATTCTATTTGGTTGTAACAACAAAAATCAACAGATGACAGAGAAAGAATTTTGCATATATTATCTGAATTTAAACTATGTATTTTGTGCTTTTCTTTTATTATAATTTCTTGAGTGCTGGATTGTAAAAGAATGTGAGCAAACTTATATTGGCATTTCTTTGCTAAAGTTAAAGTAATATTTTTCCTGGATGTTGTAGTCCGAGCGTACATTTTTAATTCTCTATGTTTTCCTTCATATTTACAACACCAATAAAACCTTGGAGGTCCAGAGTATTGAATAATAGTTGGGTAGTGAATTAAAAAGTGGTGTTTGGGTTTTAAAGTATCATTAAACAGTCTAATATACATTGAGTTATGTTGACTTATTAATTGTTTAAGGTCCATAATTTTGCCGTCAGTAAAATTATATGAGAGAAGTAAATCAATGAGCTTTAACAGGGTTAAGAAGAATTTCCACACTTCATCGTCATCAGGAATTAAATCTCCAACCATAATTGGGAAAAAAGTATAAACTAGTAGTATACTTTATCAATCTATTTTTCGGCTTCACGTTTTGTTTATGTATATAAAACTATATTGCAGAGTTACGACTGTTTGAATGATGAAGGCTTCATACACTTTACAGTTAATCATTCAGTGAACTTTAAAGACCCAGATACAGGTGCCCACACCAACACCGTCGAGGGAATGTGGAGACATGCAAAAGCTTCGCTGTCTCAATACTCTAGGAAAAAACATTTCTATGGCGGCTACATAGCCAAATTTATGTTTTTAAAAAAATGCCGTATATTAAATCTAGACCCTACTATTGAATTTTTCCGTTTAGCCGGTAATTTATACGATCCAAATAAATATAACAACGATGGGGTCGACGTTTCTGATGACGACGATACTGATATAGTATAATATACCTACATTATCTAACTCTGTACATTTTGATTTGTTATTGTTTATTATTTTTAACACGTTCAATGCAATTTTAAACTGGTATTTGACATAGGAAAAGTACCTCGGGTCGCCTTTGTTGACCGTACGTAATTTTGGCTCGGCGACGCGGGCTCTGCGCCGAAAACACTAACGGAGCTCCACTTGTAAACCAATTTCTCCCAAACCAAAAATATAAGTTGGTTCTGATTTCACCAAAAACTTATATATGTTATTACTCATCGAATGAAAAAAAAATAGTAAAAAAAAATCAATTTTGAGTTTCTCAAATATGCAAATGTTTGAAATAACTTTAAAATTCAGTTTTATGTGGTTTATTAACAATAACATAAAAAGTAAGTACGATAGGCAAATTCTGATTCCACCAAAATGTTGAGCATATAAATACAAACATTTCTAAAAAAAAAAATTCTAAAAACTTAAATTTTTGGTATCTTAAATTCAAAAACAGGATTTTTGAAAAAATTGAGCATTTTGAAGTTTTTTTACCATAACTTCCAAAATAAGTTCGACCGGCCTTTTTTGAAAGTACCATCAAATTAGGCATGCAAAAACACACATTTTGAAAAAAAAAAATTCCAAAAAATCGCTTGGGAGCTAAACTGCATTCGTTCCAGAGTAACACAGTAACTTGCAAGGCGCAATCGTACAATGCGAGTAGGTAACGCAGACAATGAGCCGTTGGCGGTTATTTAGAGTTCACAAGACAATATTGTAAATTGTATTATAATTATCATAAAATCAAAATTATATCTCGTAAATTTTATAATATTATTGTCATATTGACAAGATATATTATCATTATGTGACTCTTTGTACCGACAATGTTTCTTATCATATTAATAATACTTAATATTATTTTAATAAGACACATTGTTTATAATACAAGAAAATATTCCTCGCAACAAGATACTCATTGTTGACCCTTAACAATATTATATTGTTGTTATTACCACCAATATTTTTTTCAGTGTATGTAAAAAAAAATTGTATTCAAATCTAACAATATTTACCTATCCAATTATATACAGGTAAACATTTATAATTTTAATAATAGAATAGCATTTGTGTTAAATTATAGTTTATTCAAGTAAAAATATGTTTTTATTTTAAGGTCTTGTAGTATAAACTTTAAAGTTTAAAGCTTAAACTAAGTAATAAGAATTATTTATGTAAGTTAATGTGTTAAACCACTAAAATGGTCACCAATCCAAAGCTAAGCAATAATTATAAAGGTTAAACAACAAGGTATACAATTTCTAATTACAAATTTTGATTTACACAGCTACATCAAGCCACAAAACTAATGATATGATAGGTAGTAAAAAAATATATATACCTGATAACAATATATCATTAAACATAAGTATCTTTTGTCTTTTAATCATGGAAGCTTGGATTGCTTTAGATAGCTCTGTGTTCACTTTGGACAATCCATATTTTCTAACTTTCCACCAACATCCATAAAAGTCTCCAATAGTAAGATCTGCTTTTTGTAAGATTTTAGATCCGATTTGTACAGGCTCCAAAGTCAGCACCTTTAAAATTCCAATTTATATTGTTATTAAAATTTTAAAGAACCTACCTACATAATAATAAATTGATTTTAATTTCTTACCAATGATTTAATTAATTCCCAATCATCATTATTAAGTTCTAATTCAGGAATACAATGATCATTAGCCATTAGTTCACAAAACTGTTTTAAATCATATAGACGATTAAGCATATGATAAATTGAGTTCCACCTTGTATCACAATCTAAAATGGCTTTATTTAAATTTTTTTTTCAACATGTTTGATACAGTGGGGGTCCTCAACTTTTTAACAACCTAAATAATATCACAATATAAAAATAATTAGTACCTACTTAATTAACACCTATACATAAATATGTGTATGATCATAAACTTGATGTAAATAGTAAATTTATAATTATGTCAAATTGTCTAGGCTATCTCACACAAATTATCAATTATAAAAAATTTTTTTTAAATATAAATATTTTAATAAAAATTACTAAACCATATTGTTACCTTGCGAGCTTTTTCTAAAATTACTTTTAGATTAGTGGTTATTAAACCATCAAAGACACTAAGTTGAATTGTATGAGCTGAACACCTGATACAAAAAGTCATTCCAAATCCTGTAGATGTAAATTAATTTACTAAATGTTCTTGGACGTTATCATTTAATATTTCATTTTCAAATGAGTATTGGTTGTTAGCCAAAACATCAGTGTCACCATCTTCATTGTTACTATCTTCATCAATTCCACCTTAATTTATTAATTATAAAAAAATATGTGTATATTATTACATAGTAGGTACATTTCAACTATCACTTCATGTAAAATTAAAAATTTAATTTTTGATGCATTAGGTACCAATATTATGCTCTTGTGCATCGTTTTCATTATCTTCAGCAATCAAACCCACCATTTTCACCATATTAGCACCATTGTCAACCGTACATGAATAAACTTGATCAGGTCTTATATCATAACGGTTCAGTACTTTTAAGACCTAAAAAAAGTACATTTATAACTAAAAGATGATCATAGATTATCCAATGAAATTATGAAATAGGTACGTCAAATGTATTTATTTAAGTAGGAATATCATTTAAATCAGTAAGGTACCTATAATTAGTAGGTAGTTATTTAATAAAAACTGAAATAATTGAAAAATTATCTGTAATTTACTTATATCGGTATTGATATAGGTTTATACTGTATTATCTATATATTGACAATATGACATGATTACATGAACGTATCACAATTCAATCTTATAAAAATTAAATTGGTTAGTATTTTAATTTTTTAACATAGTACTGTATTCAAAATAAATTATTATAATGTTCCTTTATATTGATAAGTATTGATTAGTTAAATAGTAATTGATTATTGGGTACTAATTGTTACTCACCACAGATTTTAAGTAATCACTGGTGTGACGTTCTTCCAAATTAGACATAGCCAATGTCCTTATAACTAATTTGTTTTTTATATGATATTGTATATTTATCCCAATTATCCCTCTATTTAATCTAGTGCAACAATCCATTTTTAATGATATTGGGCGGTTATTTATATCGTTTGTTATAGTGTTCATGATTATATAGGTAAATAATTTTTAAAAAATGGGCTTTACAAAATTTATTAGGTTGGCAGAAAGTAACTATTTCCAATTGATTGTGTTATGGGTTTCAAAATTTTTTGCATGCCAGAATCTTTAAATATTGTTAATGGTCTACCATTGATTGTGATAAGTTCTGTACATGCTTTTAATAGTGTCTCTTTGTCCATCCTTATATAAAGTGATTTCTTTGTTACACTGATAACTTTATCAAGTGGACCAATCTAGAATAATATTTAAAAAATATACATAGGTATTTTGTAAGTACAAGTTAAACAAATTGAGTTTAAGCAATATGAATAAAAACTATACTAAAGTATTATTTTTGAACTAGAATTGTAATTAAAATCTTTAAAGTTTAAAACCATTTTTAATAGGATGTAGGGACCATTGCAATTAATTTATATTTTAGAATATCATCAAAATAAATTGTCACACCCTCAATATCCCCAAAATAATTTTCATTCTGCTTCATAAATAACTCGGGTGTTACACTCAACCCAAACGCCAGTCTCAAAAATCTATAATTTCCAAATGGTGTGCTAAATGTACAATATTTAATTGACATATCGTCCAATTTTATGTGATAGTAACCATATTTTAAGTCAAGAACGCTATAATATTTTTTTCCTATTAACTTTGAAGTAATTTTTTCTAGTGTGGGCACTAAAAATTGGTCTCTAACTAAACTCTTATTCAATTCCTGTGGATCTAAATAAATTCTCAATGAAAAATCTGGCTTTTGTACTATCACTAGATTGTTCGCACACTCACTTGGCTCATCTGCTTGTGCAATTATTTCTTTTTCCACTAACTCATCTAATTTTAATTTCAGTTTATCTTAATTTTTATTGGCACTCTTCTTGCTACACTTGCCTTTGATGCCACTCCTTCTTTCATTGTCAATTTCCAAACATCCGGAAAACAACCTACACCTTCAAAGATATAACTATTATTTTCAATAAAGTAATTTATATCTGATTTATTTCTTCCCTTATCTATGACATTGACATTTTTCAATAATTTAAATTTTTCCAGCATAGGTAATCCTATTATAGATTTGCCATCATATGTTGTATCTATTACAACAAACTCCGTTTTTATATTTTGGTCACCTAATGTTAATATTGCTTTTACCTCACCAGTAGGTTTAATTTAAAAACCTCCGTATACTTCTAACACTATATTCGATTTTTTAATTAATTTCATTAAATTCAGTTTCTGACAATGTATTTACTTCAGGTAAATACATCAGCCCCTCTGTCTAGTTTTAAATTCATTTCTTTTCCATTTACTTTAAATACTTTACACCACTCATTTTGAATTGAACAAACTGTGTGAATATATTGAACTGAAATTATTCCTTTTTCTTTGACTTTGACTTTGATTTGAGTTGTTTCTTTTTCCCATGTCATCAGTTCCCCATTTTGATTTGACTCCTACTCCATGCACAACTTTGTCCACTTCCTTAGTCGAAGATAACGTTTTTCGGTTGCTTTCAGTTAGTTGAATTGATTGACAGTAGGCCACAACCTTCAAAAAATATTTGAATCTTACACGGTTTCTAGACCTTATATAAACGAGTTATGAACAAATATATTCTTATTGATCAACTACAAATGTTTGTTTATTATTCGTCAAATACGCGAAACTAAACACGTAAATTCAACGTTAAATATTCGTATATAGCGCACGTTAGACCCAACTTTAAACATAAAATAATTCTTATGGCATATGTTAAATATATGAATATTTGTTCACTGGGTATGCAATTTATTTTAATAGACACAAAAATGTTTGCAATTAATTATCATTATTAATTACAATTGAAACAATCACAAAGTCAAAAAATATATTATATAGATTTTACATTTATATATTACACATTCATACATGTGTATCAAACTTTGAATAGGTGCCTATATATATTAAATCATAAAATAAATAAATTATCTTATTTACATAGATATAAATAAATAATTCAAGTGAAATTTCAAAAAAAATTATAATGGGTCTCGAACTGTCACATATCTTACTCCATCTTGTGTTACATTCAATGTGTTTGGTATGTGAGATATTAATGAATCCTGGTAAATTAAACACATATTTGAGACTGGTATTTATATTTCAAAAGCATGCAAATTTTCATTAAAACCTATAGCATTTAATAAATTACACTCAAAAATTATTTTTTCAGACCCATACACATCTCTAACAGATGCAAATTGTGGGTTGTTATCATCCGAGTCCCTCGTCAAAATACTGTTCACTTTGTGCCGTTTTCCTTTCAGTTCAGCCCAACTTACACAAATCAACGATTATTCAGTATTAAGATTGAGTTTAGATTGTATTAAGTTATGTTTTAAGCAACTTAATATTTTATTAGGAACTATAACAAGGTATATTAATACATTCCGGCATCATAAAAAAATCATCATCAAAAAAAAAAACGGGACACAAGGCCATTATAACAAGGTAAATAAGCTATTAAAAACGTTTACTTACTTGATCCGCGTCCAAATGTGAAATGAAATATGTCCGACGTCCGTCGCCGATCATACAGCCTATCCGAAAAAATTCCGTTCGTATCGACAATAACGCGATTACGCGAAAGTTAGTGTATTTGTTCATATATTTTTTGTTGATGGCTATAACTGTAACATTTACGAGTAAACTAAAGTACCTATCTGCAATACATAACTGATACACCGTTGAATATTGTACGCGATCGACGCACTCGGGGTGCCTACCTAGGCGACTTCGATAAACGTACATCGAATACCACACGAGGCATCTACTTGCTAGACACTCCAACACGGTTATAAAATTTAAATTGTTCCAATTGTTCTGGAGTTTCATTCTGAAATGTAAAGCTGAGTTAATGAGAGAATCTCGTAAACGTAAGCTTGATAATGAATTACGTTATAGCGATGAGTTTATTCAGTTCAAAGACTACTGATTCTGAAAAATTTGAAGCGTTTTTACGTTTACGAGATTCGAATGCAACCAAAGCCGTTGAGTAATGCTAAAAAGTGTTAAAAATATCTCGGAGTCGACCAATTACGTAAGCGCGAATCCAACAAATTAAAAATGCGCAACGCTCGTTTAAAAAACAAGCTCGAAATCGTCATTCCGATAACCAAACCGTCATGAAATGTCTGTATTGACGAATTTCATTGATAATGAATTTGATTGTCGTTTTATAAAAAATAAATTCGGGATTTCCTGCGCTGTTTGCGATCGACTTTGGTCCGAGAACGATATGAAGCACGTTCCCTAGAAAGCCATTGATTTTTTGCGCGAAAAAACCCAGATTTGGATTCTTACAATATGAGCATGTGTACTAATTGTTATAAAACTCTGCTCAATACCAAAGTTCCCCATTTTGCTAAGTTTAACGGTATCATTATCCTCCATTTCCGTCTGATTTACCGCCTTTCGATCCTACCATTGAGCGATTAGTGTCAAAGCCTCTTCCATTTGTGCAAATTGTTCGACTGCATATCTTACATGATTCTGAAGGTACCGCCGGGCAAGTAATCCACATTCCAGTGGACGTTAACTCGATGGTTTTGAAACCATCTCGCCAACTGGATGACGATCGTGAGTTCAATGTTCACATTAAACGACATTTAATTCATAAATCGACCTACTTGAAGGGAAACGTGAAAAATTCGGTAGTAAAAAGGTGGCTCCGATTTCTCGTCACTCAACCATTGTATCTCGGAATACGTATCAACGAGTCTTAGTACCGCAAATATGATGATTCACCGTTCTTGAGGTAGAAAAGCTGATGCGTCTGGTGAACCTATGATCGAACCCATTTCTTAAAACCCGATGCACGTAACTTTGTCTCCTCGTATCTAATACCAAATTGACATCGACATTCTTATGTCAAATATATTCAGTAGAAATAAGACATGTACATGTACCGATGTATCTGCATGTAGAGTAGATACTCTTACTCGATTTTTTTTTCTTTTATTGCTTTTGCATGGGTAATACCCACAGTTTTTTGATACTACCTATTGGAATTTATTGAAGGTAAAGTATTCAAATGATATAATATATTAATGGGTACTGCTTAAAGATGGAAACATTAATAATATTATTAATATTTCATTGTATGATGTAGGTACTGATGGTACTAATCAGTGTCGTATGCTGGACACAGAGTGAATACTATTACTAAAGATGCTGCATTGCCATCTCTCCAACGTTTTTCACGTGGTTGGGAGTGAACAATAAACTCTTGTTACCGTGTCTCGCTTTCTTTTTCAAATTGTCGCTAGACACCAACTTTATTCGGTACTTGTTTATATGCATACATTTTTTACGTTTAATTGTTTTTGTTTTCTTGTATTGCTTTTGCACATTTAATATCCACAGTTTTTCTATACTGCCTATTGGAATTTATCGAAGGTAAGGTATTCAAATTATAATATATTTGTGGGTACTGTTTAAATATGGAAACATAATTAATGTTTCACTCCATGATGTAGGTACTGATGGTTGGGGTGCACACTGTGTTAATCTGGTAATATGTAGCAGAGCAAGAAAAGCGTTTGCACCTGCTCTAGTTAAACTTCGACCCTGTATTAGCTAGATATTTCATAGTTATGTTGAATGTTTTTTTAATATGTTGACATTAGTACCTATGTGATCATTATTATCAGGATTTCCTTTCATATATAATATTTTTAAATTTCCGACTAACATTTTTAATTTTGAAACAAATCAATACGTCCTCGAATATGTCATACCATCAAAAATATTAGGTAGGTTAGGTAGGTTACACACTTTATCATAGCTTTGGGTTTGCTTAATTTATAATTAATTTTACCACTGGTCATTGATACATACTATTTTTGTCTTTCTAGAAATAAATATGGCTTCTAAGAAATCTCCATTTATGGTTTTCTTAAATT